GCCAGTGAAATTTATCTATTGAATAAGACTGTGTTCTCAGATGCAAATTTTATTGCAGCAGAAATTGAGAGTAACAACCACAGACATGTAAAACCGATAGGTACTGAACCTGCTATCCTACCAAAAACACCAAAAGCCAGCAACATCAGTGAACCAGATCCTTCTGTAGAAAAGAGCATATGAAAGCATTCGTATGAAAGCATTTGTAGAAGAGAGCATTCTGTATGAACCAGGTCATCAGTTTGTAAGTTTATTTGAAATATCGCCAGTGCTGTCGATCAGGAAAAAATCTACAAATCTTGGTAGAAAATCATCGAAATCAACGGTAATAACTTCTTCACCTTACAAGGAAGCATTAGACCAGGTAATTCTGGTTTTATAAGTCCGTAAGCTATTTAATCTGATATCTTACCAAAAACACCAGTAGCCAGCAACATTAGTGAACTAGGTCCTTCTGGTTTACAAAAATTTGTAAGTTCGCAAGCTATTGAACCTGCTATCCTACCAAAAACACCAAAAACAAGCAACATCAGTGAACCAGGTCTTCCTGGTTTGCAGAAGTTTGGAAGTCCATTTGAAATATCGCCAGTGCCGTCGATCAGGAAAAAATCTACAAATCGTGGTAGAAAATCATCGAAACCAACGGTAATAACTTTCTCACCTTACAAGGAAGCATTAGACCAGGTCCCTCTGGTTTGCAGAAGTTTGTAAGTCTGCAAGATATTAAATCTAATATCCTACCAAAAACACAAGAAGCCAGCAACATTAGTAAACCAGGTCCTTCTGGTTTGCAGAAGTTTGTAAGTCCATTTGAAATATCGCCAGTGCCGTCGATCAGGAAAAAATCTACAAATCGTGGTAGAAAATCATCGAAATCAACAGTAATAACTTTTTCGCCTTACAAGGAAGCATTAGATTACGGTTGAGTCCACAAGGGAGGTGACTAAAAAAAAATTTAAAACAAGTTAAAGAGGCGGCATAAAAAGAAAATCGAAAGTTCTTCTGACAACGACAGTGAGCAAAAATTTGGAATCTGGAAAATACGGGTGTATTGTATTGTAGTGTATTGTATTGTATTGTATTGTATTTACTGTGACGGAAAATTTTGTGAGAATTATCGAGGTAAAAATTGATTGGTAATGTTCTGGTGCAGAAAGTGACGAATATATGTGTGAATATTGTACATAAAAATCATACAATAAAAATAAATATATCTTACTAGGCAGAAAAATGGACTAGCTCAAAAGAGCAAAACAATTCTACATGCCAATTATGTAATTTGAACTTTTTCGATCGAAAAATAGTCAAGATATCAGCAATAAACAAAATAGTAGCTTTGTACCTTCTCTTGTATGTAAAAATGTGAGTTTGATGAACTATGTTATGAACGTAGTTATCCTATAGTGGGATCTTGAACTATATTATTTTCTGAAGTAAGTAACGTGAAGTGACTAACGCCGAAGTATATGTGACCAATATTGCACTATTCCATTCTTCAAAACTTGTTAAATTGATTTATTTTTTTCAGAAATTAAAAATTTTAGTATAAAAATAGTAATCAATCATTTTTAATATTTAGGCTCATATAAAAACATCCAACAATGACAGTCAAACATATAAAAACAGTTTTATTTTGATAATAGCTATTGATTTTGGCTATTAATTTAAAAATCGATTTAATGTGATCAGTTATTATTGGTATTACAATTCATAGAAAAAGACTACAAATCTATAATGCCAAAAATAAGCAACTTTCGAATAAATTTAGAAAATTTGCTTAAATATGAATTTCCTACAAACTAGGTACTCCTTGTGTTTCTATAAATAGTTAAAAGTATTGTCAATTTTTATTTATTTTTTTTAATAAATTACCGCAAGGTTCACAAAGATTTATGTAAACCAATAGAATTAAAATTCTTTAACAAAAATCTATTCTATCTAAGATCATTTTAAATTATGTTAAAATAAAATGTTGGAATTAATTCTATCATTTTATTTACCATTATATATGTTTTGTTAATAAATTCTTGCTATAAATGTTTGTAAAAATTTGTAGATACGGTGTATATAATACAAAATCTTGTCCATAAAGAAAGAGTTACGTTTTTTTATTGTTCAAAACTTCAATAAAAAATAAAATTTGCAATTATACCTTGCTAATCATAGCTGTCGAATATCTGTTAGATTATTGGCCGAATATTTTAAAACAATTTTAGTTTCAACGTTTCAAGATTTTCTTGTAATGTTCTATTTTCACCATTCTGCTCTTGCTCTTTCCACCATCTGTTTGAATATACCACATTTTCCTGTTTAGCATTTATTTAATATCTTACATTTTCTTCAGATGTATTCGCCCCCCTTTCCGTGTTTCATCGCGATTCCCATAATTCTTCACTGTATTCTCTTATTCGTCATTTTCGCCATTTTAAATAGACTTCTTGTTGTAGTTGTATTATGTAATGTGTCTGACGCATACGTCACAATAAGTTTTATACTGACTTTATAAATTTTTGAGTTTCTAATTATATATTTGTGTCATTTTTGTAAAGATTTCAGGTTAAAACTAAAACAATCTTAGCAGAGCCAAAATAGAAACATCTAATATGGATGTTATAATTATGTATATAATATTTATTAAATAAATATATATATATATATATATATATATATATATATATATATATATATATATATACTTATACCTGTGGTAAATTTAACATGATTAAACAGAAAGTTTTGGGTATAAAAACTAAAAGACATTCTGTATAACAAATTCCAAAAAATACCATTTAAATACTACTTCCGAAATATTATCTTCATTACTTTTCGTAGAAATGTTTGAATTCGTCTGGCTATCAGATTCCAAATAAACATCATCTTGTACTTGATCAACAGCACTAGTGTCACCTAATTCATTAATTGATATGAGGTTGAATGCTCGAATAAATGAACTTTAAGAAATAAGGCAATTATCGAGCACAAGTTTAATTAAATCTTGCCCAAGTACTTTCGCTTAAAATAGCATCTTCAGAAGTATTTTTGGCTTATTTCAGATGCCCCTGAAGATGCTATTTTAAGCGAAAGTACTTGGGCAAGATTTAATTAAACTTGTGCTCGAGAATTGCTTTATTTCTCAAAGTTCACTATCTAATTCGTCAAACCACTTCAAAGCTGTATCTTCAAAATCAGCATCGGTAAAACGGATTTTATTTTGATGGACATTATTGTAACAAATACGCGACGTATTCAATGAAACAAAATGTAACCTGAATCTAGACGTGCTGTCTAACAGACTAACTTAAACTGATTTTCGGTTATAACTTTTCCAAATATGCGTTTTTCTTTAAAAGTCACTAATAGTCAACGAATAATATAAAGGATAGATAAAGTGATGTGCCGATGGGCGGAGTTATTTATACAGGGTTTTAAATACTCTTTATGTTGTAGTCTGTCAGAAGGCCTGTCTCCAGTTCTTCTTCTTCTTCTTCGTCTAGCCATTCACGTCCATATCTGAACATAAGCCTCTTCCAGTTAAGAGTTAAAAATTATACAAAAAATTGGATTAATTTTGATAATTCCTCTGGCATACTTATAACTGCCTCTTTTACAAAAATTACTTAAAATATAAAGTAAATAAATCGCAATTTGTACAGAAAAGTACAATCTTAGGTAGTAAAATCTCAAAATTAAACAAAGCAAACACAGCAAAAATGTGTTACGTGTGACAGCTGTGAAATTTGGTGGGTTAGGTTATTTGATGAGGGGATAGTGCCAGATGACGTCACATAAACTACCTGCTTAAGGAACTAGAATCTGTCCGAAATGGTAGTTTTTGAAATTTTCGTTTTGGCCATCTTTTGATGTAGAATACACTCTGTGAGTCGACCCAAGCTAGCAGTAGGCATACACTCAAAGTATGTATAACAATGTTATTCTTCTTCTTCTTGCAGTACCGTCTCCTATCGGAGGTTGGCTACCATCACAGCAATCTTTACTTTGTTGGCTGCAGCTCTGAACAACTGTATTGAACTGCACCCATACCACTCCCTTAAATTTCGCAACCAGGAAATCCTCCTACATCCCACATTTCTCTTTCCCGAGATTTTTCCTTGGATTATGAGTCTAAGCAGAGAGTACTTTTCTCCTCTCATTATGTGGCCCAGATATTCCAGTTTTTTCGTTTGTATGGTTTTTATGACTTCGCATTCCTTCCCATCTTCAGCAGAACATCGTGATTTGTTACTCTTTCTGTCCATGGTATTTTCTACATTCTCCTGTAACACCACATCTCGAATGCCTCAATGTTTTTGATGTTTATCTTTTTCAGTGTCCCGGCTTCCATGCCGTACAGCAGAACGGAGAAAACATAGCACCTTAACATTATCGTTCTTAAGTTTATATTTATGTCCCGGCTGCATAGGAACTTTTTCATTTTGACATTATTATTAGTAAACCAAACCCCTAAATATTTGTAGGACGTAACTCTTTCAACTGGCTGATGATTTATGGTTAAATTCACATTGGTGTATGGCTTCTTTGTTACAATCATGAATTTAGTCGTTTTGATGTTCAGTTTTAGACCATACTTATTGATTCTATACATTAAACGTTATTTGTGACAAAATAAGAAATATTTGGGGCCTTGAAATTTTGGACCATAGTTACTAGTTACGTTTAATAACATTTCTAAAATTTCGATACTCTTTGATCCGTTAAATTTTAAAGGAGTTGTTGATCAAAAATGGGTGAATTATGATGTAGTATTATATTTATTTGACTCTCCGCTTCATATATTTTAAAATCAGATTGTTTTGTTTTATATATTCTTTAGATTAATAAAACTAAAAATAGAAGAAATATATTCCAATGTAATTTAAACAAATAAAAAATACCGTTGCAAAAATGATCTTAAATACAATAAAAAAATTCATAAAATATTTTGCACAACAAGCCTTTAACAACACAACTCTAATCACATTGTAAACATTACAAAAAGTTACCTAAGTTAAATGGAAATCTCCTTTCAAAATCCTAGTAAATGTTTTCTTAAATTGTTGATTGGCTAAAGCATAACAAAACGGATTTAAAGGACTATTTGCGTAGCATAAGAAATACGAGAACATATAAATATGGCTGTTGATACAAGGCGGATCTGTGCAAAACCCCTCGACCAAAGCAAAGATATGGTATGGCGTCCAGCAAACGACAAATGCTCCCAAAATAAAGGATATGGTCCTTAAGGCTTTTCTAGCTCGATTTTCTGATTTGGATTTTTGTCTACCAAAGCCTAGTGGACCCAAAGTCTTCTTTTTGGCTTTCAGTCTCTTTCCTATTGACTTAACGAAGACTCTTTTGGGATTGTCTACGGATTCTGTACAAAACCTCGGTTTATTATTACAAGAGGTGTTAAAGGGACCGTTTTTACCTGTTTGACTTATAGCTGAGATTCCCCCTAGCGGCGAACTATCTTCAGTCTCCCCTACACGATCCTCTTCATTGACCACTGATGTAATCGGCCGATCAGCACTAATTGTCACTTCAGTCTGAAGTTTCTGCTCACCCTGCACAATATGAGGAGAGCTTGTATTACTTAAAGGCGGAGGGGGGTTTTCTAAAGTAGGGGAAGGAACTACTACAGAACTTTCATCCATATAACGCAAGTCGGCGCTGTCTAAGCCTAGCAGGAGGTCATAAGTTGAATGGGTTTTATAAATTAAGCTGTTAGGGGGTTTTTTACTATCTACATGTGGTTGCAGGGTACTGTCGTAACTTTTGCTATTTACAATGGCAGCTGGATGGTCAGGTGGAGGGGGTTTTACACCTACCGTATAATTTTTTGATTTTTTTGAATCGACCAAGGGATCTCTTTCGGTGATTTGCAGAAGGGTAGGTCTCTCGAGTACGGGCCGTTGCTAAAAAATAAAATGTGATTAATATAAAATCCTAAAAACTTCCTATATATTGTTTTATTTATTAGTATCATATATATATATATATATATATATATATATATATATATATATATTAAACAAACTTTTTTATATGGAATGAAAAGCAATAACATTATCACAGGACTCTTTATAAAAACTTTATATTGCAATATTAGAAATTTTGAAAGCTTCATTGCTAATGAAACTAAAGTATGTTACATAGATTAAAAGAAATTCCGATGTCAAAATACAACTTTGAGACATAATTAAATATCAATAAACAAATAGCAGTAAACAATGGATACAACGAACAAATATTTAATAAAATGTTAAATCAAAAATTACACAAGAAAGCCCTGAAATTAGTATTTCCACCACCAGAGAAAAAACTCACTACCTTCTGCTCAATTACATTTATAAGGGCAAAATATCAACAAAAATAGCCAAACACATAAAAAAGACAGGAATAACACCATCTTTCAGAACAAATAACAACTTGGGCAAATATATTATATACAATAAAAACCAAAATAAAAAACACTTACACAATGGTGTGTACAAACTGAAATGTGGCGACTACCCAAAACTTACATCGGTCAAGCTGATAGAAATTTTATTAAACGAATAGCAGAACATAAAAGGGCTTTCAATAATAGAAAAACAGATTCTACATACGCGCTTCACAGTTCTCTTCTCCTCAACCTATTCAAGACTATAAAGTAAAAAGGCATGCCAAAAATAGATCACTTGAGAAAGGCAATCAGCCGAAACAGCTGTAGTGACAAGAGTTTAAAATAAATGTTGTGGAATTTTTAAAAACAAAGTTTTCAGTGTTCTATTGTTACATAAAATGAATTTCCATCAAGTAACGATCGAATCCATCAATTATTTAAAGTTAATGTTTCTTAACAATCCGTTAGACTTTATAAAAATTGATGTAGAAATACAACGACTATACAACTTTTTTTTAAAACTATTCCGAGGTTATAGTCAATTATAAATTTTCTCCTGATCGAATCGTTAATACTGATGAAACTGGTATTTCTACGGTGATAAAAGCATTAAAGTTATATAAGAAATCGGCAAGAAGCAAGTTGGTCAATGGGTTTCATCAAAAAGAGGAACGCTCGTCACTTTCTGTGGAATTATAACCTCCACCAGTATAATTATTCCACCATTATGTATATCCGCGAGAAAGAATGGAAGATCATTTTTTATATGGAAGTGTTCCTGGTGCAGTTGGGTATGCAACAACATCAGCCTGGATGTCAATAGCCGTATTTATTAAAGTATTGGAACAAATACACAAACATATGCATAGAACTCGTGAAAATCCTGTTCTCTTACTTGTTGATAACCACGAGACTCATGTTTCACTTGATGCAATTAATTATTGCAAAGATCATGGAATAGTTATGCTTTCTTTTCCACCTCACTGCACACACAAAATGCAGCCGCTGAAGTTTGCGGCCCGTTCAAAGCTAGGTTCAAGTCATCCTTCAATTACTTCATTTTATTAAACCCTGGCAAAGCAATAACGATCTACGGCATTTCAAGTTTGACAGCCCAGCCATATATATTTGTTATTATTTACTCCTATTAATGTAACAAAGGCTTTCGAAAAAACTGAAATCTGGCCAGTAAACAGTCTTAATTTTGACGATTCAAATTTTGCTGGAGTGCTCAACTATGGACCTTTCATAGAGGAATTCGAGGGAAATGAGCAATTTCTTCCATGAATTGACAAGAAGATGAAGAAGGGAAGTGCGAGGAACCAACTTTAAACACTTTCACAAAAGTGCAGGAGAAGTGGTATCCCAGTTGAGATTTTTAAGGAAGGTGGCGAAAGATTGAAGGAAAGAATATTTCACTTGCCATTAATAATTTGGCAAAAGAAAGAAATGCTGATGGAATAGCGTTCTTATTTGTCCTGTCTATGAAAAAGGACTCGGAAAATTACAGAGGAATTACTTACGATTATAATATAATACATATAATATAATATAATACAAATTACTAACACAACACTAAAATTAACAACCAAAGTAATAACAAATAAATTGAATGAAATTATATCACTAGCAGAAAAACAACAGGGTTTTACGTCGGGAAGATTATCCACCGACGCTATATTTATAATGAGGCAAGTGCAAAAGAAATCATAAGCATCCGGCAAACAACAAACCGGCATATTTATGTTTCGTGGACCTTACAAATTCATTTGATTGGAACAAATTAAAAGACGTAATCCACTTACTGAATGCAAGAAAGATACCTCTAGGAATAATCAAAACGATCGAAAATATCTACCAAAACAACACGATAAAAGTAAAAGTAGAAGAAGAACTAACCGACCCCATTGAAACTGGCAATGGAATAAAACAGAGAAATTTAATGAGTCCTCTATTGTTCAACCTGATTATGGATGAAATAATAATAAAAAAAGTAAGAACTAGAAAAGGATACCACGTGGGAGAAAAACAACTTAAAATAATCTGCTATGCAGACGACGCAATACTACTCTCTCAAAGTGAAGATGATTTACAACGTATGCTACACCAATTTGATATAACCGCCAGAAAATTTAACGTGTTAATTTCCCCAACAAAGACAAAATGCATGGTTACAGCAGCAAATTTACTAAGATGTAAATTAGAGCTGGAAGGTCAGATAATAGAACAAGTGATAGATAATAGAACAAGTGAGTTTAAATATCTAGGCATCACATTATCTAGCTACGGAAAGCTCGAAACCGAAGTGGAAGATCAAGTGAATAGAGCCGCAGGCTACAATAATGAAACAATATGGTGAAATAAAAATATCGGGAAAGAAACGAAAGGCAGAATTTACAAAACAGTCATCAGACCAATAATGACATATGCGACAGAAACAAGACCTGACTTAGAGAGGACAAAAAGGATGTTAGAAACAGCAGAGATGAAAAAACTTGGAAACATTAATGGTAAGACACTATGGGACAGAGCGAGAAGTACAGATACACGAGATAGATGCAAGGTGGAGAACATCAAAAACTGGGTAAAAAATAGAAGAGTAGAATGGAATGATCATATAAACCGAATGACAACAAATAGAGTAGTAAAGACGGTTTCCCAATAGAAAGACGATCCGTAGGAAGACCACGAAAACGATGCAATGACAACTTACTGGAGGCACATTGAAAAACAGATTGAGTCATTTTTATAATAAAAGAAAAAGAAGAAGAAAATAAAAAAGAAGACAAAAAGGAGTGCGAAAACTATAAAGGTATAGCATTATTGGAAGCCGTCTATAAGATACTAGCAAAAATTATTAGAAAAAGATTAATAAAACATGATAGCAAAGTGATTGGAGAATAACAAGGATTTAGTCCAGGAAAAACAACTATAGTATGATCAAATAAGTAGATTAAAACTAATACAAATAATAGCTATGAACAAAACTTAGGACTACATATGCTATTTATCGATTTTAAACAAGCTTATGTTTCCATAAATCGAACGATGCTATATGAGTCCATCAGAACATTAGAAATACGAGAAAAGCTTGTAAGGCTAGCGAAAATGACTCTTAGGAACACGATAAATAGGGTAACGATGAAAGGAAGCTTTTCAAAAGATCAATTATGAGCATAAACAGGACTACTTTCAATAGCAGGGAACAGTGCAAAGTGTATGCGGATGATGTGGTTATACTAGCGAGAACAAAAAAACATCTGGTAAAAAGTTTTCCAGAAATTTGAAGAAGAAGCGATAAGATACGGATTAATATTAAACCAAACAAAAACGCAATATATGAAAATAAGAGGAGACATACCAATTAATAACAAATATATCAAAATGAAAGGAGCAGAGACTTGAAAAAGTGTCAGAATTTGAATACTTAGGAGAAACCATAACGAACACGGGAAAAGAAGAAAAAGAGATAGACAAGAGATTAATAAAGGAAAGCAGAGCGATAGGGTCACTACATTTATTAAAGAAAAAATGTGTCAAGAACAGCTAAACTGCGAGCTTACGAGAGAGTAATCAGACCCACAGTGATGTATGCCAGTGAAACGTGGATTATAAACCAGCATGAAGAAAAGAAAGTAGAGATCTGGGAAAGAAAGGTGCTCAGAAAAATCTTCGAAGGAATAAAGACGGCAGAGAATATTTCGGAAAGACGTACATAATAAGAAATAATGAGGATGTATGGAAAAACAATTACTGCAAAAAATACGCCCAAAGAGCTAGATGACTTGGTCATGTTATACAAATGCCAGAAAATCGAAATGTTAAAACAATACTAAAAAAGGAAGAAATGGGAAAAAAAGAAAGTAAAGCAGGACTTATCAGAAATAGGCGTGATAGAGAGCGTTGAATAGAGAGAAATCAAGGGGCCGAAAAAATGGAGGAAAATAACCAAGTTTTTGGAAGCCAGTGGTCTACAAGGCCTGTAGCGCTAAAAAACCATCTGAAAACGTGATTTTTATTTTGAGAAATGAATATTTTCACTGGCGATAACTCAAAAAAGTATTGCCTTAGTAAAAAACTCTATAGAATAAAAGATGCTTAGAATTAGTCAATTTATTTATTTCGGGATTTATTTTAAACGTATGGTTTTTCACCCTCGAGTATGGGTGGCTTTCACCTCTCAAGTAGAAGCAATCCTAAGCTCAATTCCAAAAGTAAAGTAAAGGGTAAGAGGAACCTAAATCCAAATTTTCAAGCCAATCCGTCGTGACGAGGAAAATTACACTCAAACGGTCATTTATTAGAGTATAATGATCAGAAGTAAATTTTAGATCTATAAACCAGTTATCAGCATACAATAAACACACTGTGATATTTTTATGTTTTATCTTAGTACAGTGCAGTCCCGATATAACGAACCCCGATATAAAGAAATCCCCGATATACCATTTTTTTTTTAAATCCCCTTCAAACGTCCATAACACTCAATGTAAAAAATACCCCTATATAACGAACTATTTCGGTTTTAATCCTCGATATAACGAATTTTTACGATTTGCAAACATAAATTAACCCCTACATAACGCACGAAACCCTTGTGTTACGCATTTCTGCGTTCCAAACCTCGGTTTAGAGTAGTTTAGTATAAATTGTGGTGACTCAGGGATAAGTCCAGACACGAAAACAATATGACCTGAATCCCACCCCTTACCACTAGAACCATCAGTTAGTCAGTGCAGTGTTGACCTTGAAACTTGTTTACACTGTGATCAGTACCTAAAGTACTGAAAGATTTGAGTGTTATTATCGTAGAGTACATCGAAGTGTAATAGTATATTATATTTTGTGTTCGTATTTGCTATGTCGCAAAAATACAGAAGAAAGGCACTTACAGTAGAATTTAAACGTAAACTGATACAATCCGTTAAATAAGATCCCAAAAAGAAGAATTTTGAGATTGCTAAGAACTTTGACATCACTCCCTCCATATTAAACACAATAATAAAAAATTAAGAAAAGTACGGAGTTGACGATGGACTGTCTAAATTTTGCACAAAGCCTAAAAAAGGTGAGCTACAGAACGTCAAAGAAGCTATTATTAAGTGGTGTAAACAGTGCCGTGATAAAAATGTAGCCGTTGGAGGTCCTATACACCAAGAAAAGGCTTAAGAGTTTGCAGAACAATTGGAGCATGCAGACTTTCGAGCCAGTAATGGCTGGTTGGATCGGTTCAAAAAGAGACACGAAATTAGTTTCAAAAAAGATTGTTATGAAAGTGCTGCCGTGGATGGTGTAACTTGCAAAGATTGAAAAGCTAAATCACCAGACTTGACCCGTGGATACAATGCAGATAATATCTACAATGCTGATGAGACAGGGCTTTTTTTAAGTGCCTACCGGACAAAACATTAGTGTTGAAAGGACACCCTTGCAAAGGGGGCAAAAATAGCAAAGATCGTTTGACAGTCTTACTCTGCACTAACTCATCCAGTACAGATAAACTGAAACCTCTCGTCATAGGAAAATAAAAAAAACCCAGATGTTTCAAAAACGTATCAACCTTACCAACAGACTATACAGCTAATAAAAAAGCATGGATGACCGGAGAGGTCTTCGGTGACTGGCTGAAACAAACCAACAACGAGATGAAAAAGAAGAAGAAACACATTCTTTTATTTATCGACAATTGCACTGCACATGGAGATATTTCGATGCAAACAAACATTAAAGTTCAGTTCCTGCTTTCAAACACAACGTCTAAACTCCAACCGCTTGTTCAAGGAATCATATAAAAATTTCAAAACCAAGTACAGAAGAAACAGAAAGGAAGTTGTCCGTCAATTCTTGAACGACTTGGAATGCCAATCTCCAACCAAAATTAGTGTGTTAGAGGCTATGTGGATGTATACAAAGGCATGTAACAATGTTAACGATAATTGTCAACTATTGTCAACTGTTTCAAGAAAAGCGGCTTTAAAGTGAATGATCGTGACCAAAACCAAGATGAGGACAATCCAGAAGTTCAACAACCAGAACCAAAATTGAAGGATATTGGACGAGAGTGAGGGGGGCTTTAAACGTGGATTTGGATTTTGAAGAGCTTGTCAACTTGGATGATGACGTTGCAATCTGTGGAGAGCTCACTGATGCTGAAATCGTATTTTCCGTGGCAGAGTAACAAGAAACAATAGAAGAAGCAGAAGACCACGTGGATGAAGAACTCATTAGTCAAGCAGATTTTACATCAAAGGACTGCAGAGATGCTCTTAATGTGTTAAAGTGTTATTTTCTAAAAAAAATGCTTTAAATGATGGTGTTAAATCTATCACTCTGCTGTATTGTAAAATGGATAACCTAATACAACAAGGTAAACAATAAAAAATTACTGACCTTTTCAGCAGTAATCAGAGTACTCAATAGCGATGGACATAGATGGACGTAGTAAAAGTAGTTTTTTATTTGTTTAGGTTTATATTACATTTTCAACACGAATTTAACTTGGTCAAATAAATTACGTTATTCTTAAAAATATTTAGGTTTTTCCCCTGTTTTTGGTAGCGTACTTTCTAAGTTAAGACACAGGTCTACAGTTATTCTGTAAATCATTATTTGTTAAACTGAGGTTAAGTGATGAGAACTTCGTTATATAGAGGTTTGGATTAAGCTTTAAGAACCCTTTATAATGAATATTGGTCGCATTTAACCGCCATATAACGAATCCCGTTATTAAAAAATTTCCGATATAACGAATTTTTTTCGGAGCCTTCAGATTCGTTATACCGAGGTTGTACTGTATTAAAAAAAATTCTTGGATTTTAAAAGAAATATTATTTATTAATTTTACTTACTAGGGTCTGTGAATTCCTGGCTGCTCCTCTAGCAGGAGACAAATCCCCATTTACTCTTGTGTTTGTAAAAACGTGTAAAGGGGCACTTGAATGCATGATCATTCCTACAACAGACGTTCTCTTTTTATTAGCCAACATTTTATCCTTTTCTTTATCTTTCTCTTTTTCCCTATCTCTTTCGCGTTCTTTTTCTTTTTCCTTGTCTTTTTCTTGAACAGGCGCTGTACTATCTTCATCGGATTCGAAGGCAGGACTACTAGACCGTTCCGATTTATCTCCAGCGTCTTGGGCAGGTTTTCCAATGGGAGGACAAAGATTTTTCCTTTCGCAAGATGTAGCTGTGGTGGTAGTAGTTGTTGTTGTGGTAGCACTAGTGCACAAAAATATTATGAGGGAAGGCAATACCAAGTTTTAAAAAATATATAAACAACTAAAAGGTATATATTTGGGAAACACCAAAAGTTATGGGATATAAGAGGTAATACGACAGACATAAACGTAAATTAGGGATTACAACAATTTCTATGTTTTACATTCAAAACAAATACCTTATTAAGAAGACCATATGTTTTATGTACAAGAATAATACCAGAACTAAATAGAAAAGAATAACAGATGATTATGACTAATACTTTTATTAACTTAGTTTAGCCCAGTGTCTATACAAATATTTCTAGTGTATAAAATTTGTCTCTTTTAACACAGATGGTGCTATAGGTTGCTTCAGTAAGATTGTCGGACCACGTGTTTTCTGAACTTCTATTGTTACATTCAAAAATAAACATTTAACTAGAGTAGTAACTAGTTATATACAGTACGTTAAGTTTAAAATTAGATATACCTACACACTATAAATGGCAATCGTCCTTCGTTAATAGTTTGTCATAATACAATGGCTATTTAAAGCAATAATAGTGAATATTTTTAATTTATTATTACAAACAACATGTCTGTTAGGCCTGTATTGTATATGCCTGCAGAAAAGGTTCAAATAATAAAAGGGGTTTTATGGTAGTAATTTTGGACAACGGGGTGTAGATTTATTTTCTGTGTATTTGAGGGGAGACTAATTCCTTGCGTACAGTCAGTCAATAATATTGGTAATAATGTAAGAGTTTTTATTGTCTCAAAAATTGCAGAACATGTCACGCTCAAGAAGTGTCACCAGAAAAAGTTGAGGAAACAGAATACCGGGATACATAAATTTGTGTAACAATCTAGGTAGATTCAACACATTTAAGTAGAAGCATTGCTTAGAGAATTAGATGTTAGCAATGTTACTGTAACAAAAGTATAAAAAAAACGCAGTTACAAGAATTTTAAATATTCGAAATCACAGCAGCTTTATCCAGACGACTACTTGTGAAGAATGGAGTTTTGTGAAACTCTAATAACGAAGGCTAATGATGAACCCAATTTTATTAAAAACATTGTATTTACTGATAAATCTTTTGTTTCGTTAGTAGGGAGACATAATCCTTCCATAACGAGGTATTAGGCGCGGGAAAACTGGCACAGACGTGTTGTTTACCGAACTCAATATCCTCAAAAAGTTAACGTTCAGACTGGCATTTTAGGAGACCCCATAAAAGGTCCATTTTTTATTGAGGACAACTTAAATAGTAAAGTTTACCTCAATTTGTTACAGAATTATGTTCTTCCCGCTATTCCCAATCTTCTTGATGTAAATCTGGAGAATGTTTGGTTCCATCAATATGGCTGTTCAGTTGTAGAAACCAATGTTTCTACAAGCTGAAATTATGGACTATAAATTTCACAATATATGACGCCACAGAAAATAAATCGTATTGCCTTATCTGGGATATATCCGAAGCTGGAAGTGGGGGCCATGAAATTGCATCGGCATCAACTGAATGGGCTATGACAGTTCTATCACAAACTGATGTGAAAGAATTAGTTATTTGGTCAGATAATTGTCCTTTTGAACATCAGCCTTATTTAAAAGTAAATAACTATAAATATTTACTGAGAGGACACATTCATTTAGAAGCTGACCAAGTGCACGCTATAATTGACAAATGGCCTTGGGATTGCAGCAATTAATCAGTTCCGTAGGTGCTCAGGTGAATAAAATGGACAAAGATGACTTCAAAAATTTTGAAGTACTTTACGACAATAATAATTTCTTCATTTCAAATGTAGTTCAATTCTAACTAAAAAGAGACACCAACCAAAATTACTTTCAAAGGGGCTTTTAAAGAAATAAGGCCCAAAGAATTGCACGTCGCTAGAAAAACAGCAACTGCGACTAATCTTCCAGAGCAGTTACCACTACGTTATCCAAAACTAAAACGGATCACTTAATAATCCTTTTACAATGGATCTCCAGTCAGTTTCATGAGTTCTATAGAAATTTGTTGTAGAAAGTTGTTACTAAAAAAATGTCGAAGATAGCGATATTAAATGAATGTTTATTTATTATTTTTTGTGTTTTTGTTTGGGTTTATGTAGGTACTTACTATTTTGTACACTGTTTTATCTGCTGGTACATGCCGGAGCAAAAGACCTTAAGTTTCAATATTATCCGATATATAAACAAATTTTTTGTCACAGTAGGACAATATTGATTAACTAATATATAACGTTACAATTATATTAATATTATAAATGATTGCAATAATTTTCTGGAACTCATCTTATTTTCCCATTATCTCAAAACTTCACTAGATGGATATACTACCTTTTACCTCTACAGTACAGATTTATAATTAATATTTGTGTATTATTTCTATATTCTACCTTTTTAAGAAAATTTTGTGGCCTTTAAATAAATATCTTACTTAGTGGTTGTACTGGAATTAGAATCACCCGATCCTCCAGCCCTGTACGAATCCATAACTGTAAGCGTATTTTTGTCTGGTTGTTTTTCATTCACAACGGAAGCATTCTGGACAGGAAGAGGTTTGTCTTGGCTCTCCGAATTACTTTGAGCCTTTGAAAGACCGATCCCTGCAGCTCGACCAGCCATGCCACTCATAGCTCCGGCACTAAGAGCTACCATCGATTGCATTTTCCTTTGTTTGGCTTCGCTCTTTTTCTGCATATCAAAGGCTGTCTTGTAGATTCCTAAAATATGCATAAAATGTAATCTATGATAATTACTTACTAAACTAAATCTTGGTCTAGGTCTAAAATCCTCTAGATACGATAGTAAGAAAAACTAGCTTTACAATCACAAGAAACGATGAAACGTCACTGCTAACATTGATAGACAAAACGTTTATTAAGCACTTTTATAAAATATTTGAAGTGCACATAGAACAATAATATTCCAAACACACTTAGAAGAAACAAGAAACAGAATCATGGAAATTTATTAAAATAGACAACAAATCACCTTAAAATCAATAGAGAATAATGAGATATAATAAACTATCACAAGACAATCAAAACAAGTAGATAAAGACATAATGGACTTAATGTAAGACGAAAACGAAAACGGCAGCATAAGGGCATGTGAAAACTATAAGTAGTATGCAAGTATTTCAGTTAGTTCCTAAGTAATTGTCAGAAACTAGGTACCTATCATTTTGTTTATATTAGGTCGCATCGGAAATTTTGCTCGTCAAGCAAACCAGTGACAAAAAACCCTAAGGCAGTATCACTTATTATCTCTTTATAATACATTGAGGGTGGGACACAAAAAAGTCATAATTAAGAAAAGGTTAGAAGATAGTGCAAACATTATACACTTTACGCCGTATGAAGATTTGTTTGGCATATTATATTCCTTGCATATTTCTATAGGGCATGGATCCAGAGATAAAATGATATTTGGTCTTAAATCTAAATATCACATTTCACGACCAATTATAGAATTATTTTTAGTCTTTTGCAAAGTTTGTCACGTGAAAAAGGCTAAGAAACATGCCAATCTTTTAACAGAGCCTATAATTTTAACAGAATTTTGCTCTCGGACTCAAATAGATTTAATTGATCACTAGTCATGTCAGGATGGAGACTACAAATGGTTATTAAATTATCAAGATCACCTATTAAAGTTTAGCTGTCTATTTCTATTGGTCCGTCGACTGATATTTTGTTCAGTATCATAAAAACTGTTCTCTTCGTAGAGTTATTGGTCGTAGTCCATATAAAACTTTATTTGGTACTAAACCAAAGATTGGGTTATTATCCACAATGCTACCAAACGAGATTATTAAGAGTTTACACACGAAAAAATATCTTAATGAAATACTGTCAAAGTTCCTAGATAGAGAACTTAAAGAAAAACCTGATTATTATGCTACCGATTTGAATGATACTACACCAGAAGAACAATAACATTAACAGTTAGAAATATTGCTCAATTCGGAAAAGCACGGCGATATTCAAACACCGGAAGAGGCAATCGAAACAAGTAACTCATTGCAGGAATCATATATAATAATAAAAATAATTGATGAATCCGCCAATTCTGCAGCTGCTTTTGAACTTTTGCCTGATCTAGTCGTAATGTGTATTAACTGTGAAAATGGCAGCAATTTATTGTGCGTATTGTATTATATTTAAACATATATTGCGAGAGACAAAAACGAATGGTATTTGGGGCAGAAAACAGCTGCAGAAAAATGCTGACAACCCTGATAAAAAAATTGATACCTTTAAAAATTGGAGACTATGTACTATTGTCAGTTGGAAAAATTAATCATGGCCCAAGCGACATGCAAAATTTGCTATGTGCGATTGTTGACAATAAAAATGGAGTTTTAGTCGATAAAATTATAGGTTGGTATAATCGTGCGGGTATTATTACAGTAGATGGTCATTTTTTAAGCATAGCACAAGTGCCGGATAAATATATTTCTGAACGAGAAGAAATTTCTTGTTTAAATAAATAATAAAATAGGTATCAGAACATTTTACGAAATAGTGAAGTTGTTACTACCATCAGAATTCATTTATTGTTTAATTAAAAATAAACATTATTTGGATTCTTTTTTTATTTTTTTTCCTTTTCTCTGTTTCTTTAATTTATTTTAATTTAATTTTACTAAACTATGTTCATCAAACTACTTATTAAAAATTTTCATTATACAGTTAACATTCTTTTATGTTTCGGGTTTTTTTGTCTCACAGGTTGACTGGACTAATAACTCTGCAATTTATTTAATAAATGACTGAACATACAACCCTCAGACGCTGTAACTCTCAATCATTCGTACTGTAACACAGTTTGCCTAAAGCATAGACGGCAGTCCGTGAAATGACGTATAATTTCAGTCAAACAAAGTAACACTGATTAAAATACAGCGTTTGCCGGCAATAAGTGTATTGACTGGGCTTTTCACGGAATGACGTATAATATATTGTAGTAAAAGGCGACTGAATAGATCAACACCCCTACTGCCCTAAACCCTTATTCCTGCTCCCCAATCCTTGACCCAAAATGGGCGGTATAACCCTAACCTAATACACAAAATATTACCATTGGCTAGGAGGTAATGCCTAGCTACTATAACCAGAGTAAACTGAGGCTGGTTAAGAAGATATAGCCAGCAGTCCTGGCACTGAACTCGGGTGCAATAGGCCGATAACGTGTTTATCTTAACAGCTATCACGAATACTATGAACAACGTACAAACCAAACGGGATAACGAACAACGACTAAAGCTACGGAATAAGGACTTAACGATGAATTTGCGATTGGGAACTTGAGATGTCCAAACCATGGTACAGGCAGGCACAATGCAAAGTATTGCCCAGGAATTGCAGAAATACGCAGTAGATATAGCCGTTCTCAAAAAAAATCATATTTAAGGGGCTGGATGCATAAATAAATAAAACTACAGTTTATACTACTGTGAAACAGAAAGACAAAGAGACTTTGCAGTGGATTTTATGGTAAAGCATAAATACCGCTGGTCGATATTGGATTTCACTCCAGTTATGAAAGAATTTGTAAAATACGCCTAAGGGGTATATTTCATAATATCACAATTATTAATTGTAATGCCCCAAGAGAAACAGTAGACATAACATACATGGCGTTCTATTTAAATTTCTGAAAAAATAATATACTTGCGTTTTGACTCACACTGTATTCGATATAAAAAAATTAGCAATGAAAATTTTAACAACCACTTAAAAAATATGGCAGCAATTTAATATTGTTATCGCGCGTCTCTTTAATTATAAAGGGAGTTGAACTTGTTACGCTTTTTATAGAAAATTGGATATAACTTTGCAAAACCTCTATATAACATAAAAAAAAAATTATTAAATTGTTGTGATGGAAAACTAAAGAAGATAATAGAACGAATATAAAGAAATATGGAATGTTGTCGTTTAAAAAAACATATATTTGGTCTGTCACTATGCTATCGAACACCATGTAATACTCTAACAAATTTTGTAGCGTTATCCAAAAGTTGCCTTTTAGGTTAACATTTTTGTAATCACACTAGTCAATCAACAGTATATACAACAGGTTGGTCCTTAAGTAATTGTACAAAAAGAAACCGCAGATTTTACACTTTAAAATATTACGATTTAAGCCAATTTGCTTTAATAAAATGTTGATATTAAGATAGATACAAGGTGTTAAAATGGAAATTTAAAATTTTTTTTGTACTATAACTTTTATGTTTGTAAACATTGACTTGCACATTTTGACGTAGCTGATAGATTGCGCCACATATGCCAATTATATGGCTAAACTTGCTCCTAACTTATTTTCTGTTAATCTAGCACTATTTTTGTTAAAAAATATAAAAGACATATTATTTTAAGATAAAAAAGGTATATTTGTTAATAACTTTAAAACCCAATAGTTTTCGAGATAATCGCATCTTATAGATTACCTGCATAATAATTTTTAGTTGAAATATTTGTGCGATAAAGCACTGAATGCCTATGGATAAGCATAATTAATAGTTAATTTTTTTAATAGTTAGTTAGTTTTTTTAATAGCTTTTAATTTAAAAATATAGAGAACATATTATGAAGTTTCGCGCCAGTCTACAGTACCAGCTACTGTACTTCTACCTTTTTTTTTTAAACCAGTCTTGATGTCATCATTAGATAACCCTAATGGATTATGGGACATTTTAACATAGTGAGCTGATGTCACAAATGCTTTTTATAACTAAAAGTAAGTCTTATTTGGAATAATCAGTGATTTTAGAAATATCTAGTTTATTTTGGTTTATTAAAGAAAAGCAGGAAATGCCGAGGCATAAAATTTTTGTTAATATGGATATGAGAGATATGATGGCTATTTATTGTCAACAACACTTCAATTGGCGTGCAGTGGAAAGGGAATATTTAAAAATTTACCCAAACAGGTTGCAAATTAATTACCAATCCTTTAAATATTTATTTCGGAATTTATGCGAAACTCATTCATTTCGTCCTAAACAAGACAACTTATGCCGACCGAAAATCATTACGTCTGATCAATTTAAAATAAAAGTATGGTGTGGAATCACTGGTAATAATTTTTTAGGGCCATGCAATTATGTCCCTCTTAATTTGAATGATAAAAACTATTTACATTTTTTACAAAATGATTTTACTGATTTGTTAAAAGAATTACCCTTTAACTTAAGGCAAAATATGTTTTCCATCCAAGATGGTGCACCACTACATTTTACGATGACAGTCAGAACATACTTAAATACCAACTTTCCTGAACATTGGATTTGTCGTGGTAGTCATTTTCCTTGGCCACTACGTAGCCCATAATTTAATCCTTTCGATTATGGTTATATAGCACAATAAAACAGCGTGTCTATAAGAACCCCATAACATTCGCAACCAACTTTGGGAAGAAATAAATACTGCAGCAGTTTCTTTCCAATCATCAATGCTATTTAATATGAGACGATTTTTTATGGAACGTATTGATAACTGTATTTAAAAAAATGCTGGACATATCAAAGACTTACTTTGACAAAAAGTTTAATTTTATTTAGTTTAACTCTTTCTGAATATGGTTTGTAAATAAAATGTTTTGATTATTACTTCAATTTAATATAAAACGTAAAATATATTGTATTTTATATCAAAATTTAGAAGTATGTATTGATATTTTCGTCTATTTTCCTTCGTTACCTGTGTGGGCC